TATTGGTATGTCTTTCTCGCTATCACAGCCATTGTAATTCAAAAATGTCTGTAAAAAAACAGTCGTTACTTTAAGAGACTATTGTAAGCAAAATTCAATGAGGCATCCTAATTTTTACACTCAGTTTCTACGTTCTGAAGTGTTTTAGGATTTATTAAGTTGATAGTTGAGTTTAAGTGAAGAAGATGTTGTTGGTTTCGGAATAGAACGATATTGCTGATATTGGGAAACAGTGGATGAGGTGTTAAGCCAAGGACATACTGTCCTATGAGATCTATAAAMAGAATGGCTGAGTTGTTTGATATTAGGGTGCCTACTTACATCTCTGAATTTGTCATGATTTATCATGTAATACATGTAGTTTTCCTTAGTTTGCGTGATAATCCCAGCATTGGTGTCCCAGTGCACGTTACCGATCAGTTCACAGATTTTAGAGGCATTCTCTGTTTTCTTTTGAAAGTTGAATCCCTGGCACTTATCGTCACGAACGCAGTAATCATAGCACTGCAAGGAGGAGATTACTTTCTGGACTGATAGTTTATCGCCAAAAATAACCTTGTTCTTARAAGTWACTGCATCAACTTCGGTCAAAAAGGAAGCAAGTTTGCTTTTATCACACGTTTCTAAAAGGGAAAGTCCCAGTTAGTCAAGTTGCTGGAGTCTAGCGTTATTAGTTGGTCGTTCTCGCTGCTTTTGAGCTTCCAAAATATAGTTGCAAAGGGATGAAGCTAGACGGACTGAACCCTAACCTATCCCAGCAGACAAAAAGACTACCCAATCCCAGAAAAATGGGCAAAAAATGATACCCTATCCCAGACTTGSGGCTCCAAAAAAGGGATCCTATCGAGCGGCACATACCCGTATGTAGCAAATATAGGGGTCRTGTAGCACTACCATCTTATCAATGTACTGTCTTAGCTTAGAATGAAAATCTACTGAAAATGATGCATTTTAATATGGTAAGCCCTGAGCCGAACCAGAAACGATCGGAAAGCGGAGATGACAGCGAAAGACAAACAAGAACGAAATTGAGAAATCGGGAAACTTCACGTTGATTTAGAATCGTGCATTACCGTCATTGTCTTTGATAATTTTCTCTTTGCAACAGTGTTCTTTACCATCCTTGCTACATGATTTCTCTGTTGGTGGACAGCTTCTTGTAGAAGTGGATGTCTCTGTACAATAGTATTTGCTCTTTAAGAACAGTGATTCGCAGTCGGGAAATTCTCCTGGCTGTGAATAAGCTAAACACAAAGAGAAATAAGTCAGTGGTTATGCACTGAAATATTTGTACACAAACAAGCTTACTAATACTAACTCTACTAATACTAACTCTACTAATACTAACTCTACTAACCATAACCCTACTAACCATGACCCTACACTAACATTGACTCTACAAACCATGACACCCTACTTATCCTAACTATCTACGAAAAGATCTTTTCGCRTTTTATTCTCGAGTTTGCAGCAGACAAGTCTAATTACATCGCTGTATTTTTTCAGTGGTTTGCTTAGAGGCTCCATTGTATTTTTAGTATGTTTTACAGTTCATGCTTCAAGAAAACCTTACAAAACTATTCAATGTTAACTAATAGAATCTAGATTGATGATTACAATATGCCAAGAAGGCTACTGAAAAACCTTGCTTCCAAATCTGCAGTTAATACTCTACCATATGTGAATGTCTTTGTCTGAAACAAGAAGATCGTCAACAAAGCTCCAACAAACATCGTAAATCGATAGATACAGCCCTGTGAATTAAACAAGAACGTAAGAATAGGGTATGAATATTGTGTACGCATTGTGCATAAATTAATACTTATACGAACTAAAAGAATAGACACTTCATTTAAAGTGAATTAGTCAACGCAGCTGTTTCAAGGTTTCAAAAAAAAACCTGAAAAAAATATAGCAGCGAAGACTATCGAGACGTTTGTCATTTTCCAAGTAAGTTTCAAATGATAAACTGGAAAAAAATATTGTTTTTGTAAACATTTCAATGGTTTGTTTTTGGTAACTTCCTTGAAGTTTGGTTTTGTAMTGAAAAATTGGATTGGTGAATATAGGTATTAGAAATAGATCTCTCATTAACGAATTAACATGAATTTTTTCGTCTTTCTGTTTCTCAATATATAGCATACAAACGTTGACAACTTTATGGTGTCGGACGTTTAGAAAAGATGAAAAAAGTTATGTAAAAATGTACTTTTCTGCTATTTATATCTTACCTTAATATATAGGAAACTTTAAGTGATCCAGGGTCAGCTTAAAATGACAGATCTTTAGATGAAAGTAATGTTTTAAGGTGTTTTAAGGTCTTGATAATTGGAAACTTCGCAATTGAATCAGAGACAAGAGCCAATAGTGGAAGACTTTTAGAAAGTATTCAAAAAGATATTGACAAAGTCATTGTTAATTGCTGGCGATACTGGAGGTCCTGTTTAACTAAGTATACAATTCATACCATATATATCCACGTATTAGTAAGAAATTGCGTTCAGTTAAATAAACATTTTCGTTTTATAACTCTAGATTTCCTTTGATGATTGAAGTTGAAAAAAATGTAATTCGTACGTTTGCACCAGGTGCTTACGGATTCACGGTAATTGCTGTTATATCAATCAGTGATGACACTGGTGAAAAACGCACTGCGCATGCCCACAGCTTTCCCACCAGTGGGCGCTCGCGTCTTGAAATCTGTAAACAGAGCGCCTGGCGATTTACAGCGACAACACAGAAAACACTACGAAAAACCTCATTTTCTCAAAATAGAAATGACAAGATAAAAATAGAAACTACATAATAATAGGACCTATCCTGAACAATGATTGATAGAAATATGAATCTTATATATCGGTGAACGAGCTTATAAATGGTAAAAAACTTTCACAAAAATCGCTTTACAAAGGAAATTAGGCAGGTTTCAGCGGGAAAGCTGTGGACATGCGCAGTGCGTTTTTCACCAGTGTCATCAGTGCGGAAAGTGGTGAAAAAGGAATAAACTATGATCAGGAGAAAAAAGGAAAGCAAAATAATTCGTAACAAAAGGGAGTTTTTTTTATTTTTATTTTCATTTCTTTCTTTATTATTATTATTATAATTTTTTTGAGAAGTACTCCATTAATCATTAGTTCTTGGGCTTATGTTTTCAATGATTTTCTTCTACRGTTGTAATAGCGATCAAGGTTAGAGCTTGATAAGTGAGAGTCCATGCATGCATTGACGATGTGGAATTTATAAATCCATCAATGAATACGTGGAATAAGGAAATGATTGACTGAGGACCRGTCAGTAAATATACTAAGCTAATAAGAATAAACCGCCAAATAAAGAATACAATACTACAAAACTGCTTTTTTTCCGTCGAAAACTATACAAAATACTCGACAAAAGTTTACAAACAGCAAGACCTCGTTTTTAGTCATCCCAGAGGAAGTCCTCGACCAGGGGAATATTTTTATATTTCAGTTTTCACCAAGTCAATTAAACATCAATCTCTCGTGCTACCACCACAGCTTCGGTCCATTAATTTCTGAAAGAAAAATATCGCCATGTTGATTCAGRTTTATAATGTAATAGTAATAAACTGAAGACCTTTGAAATACCATGAATCTTTGGTCCATTACATTCTSAATATACAGCTATTTCAAAGAAACGTTGTTGGGGAGAACGGCGCGCGATTGTCAAAGGGAGAATGCACGACCGAAAGGGACTATGGTTACACTATTTTGATAAACAAAATTTCACTTATTGGATTCACCTTGCAGAGAAATGGAGACTAAATGGAGCCAGTGTTTACCACAGACCATCTTACAATACAAATCAGTTTTTACTGCCTTTCAACAGGCAAAACCCATGGCTACTTTCGGTCGTGCAATCGCTGTTCGACCACTGACATTCGCCAGTTTATCCGACAAACCTTTTTTTGAAATAGCTATATCAGGGTTTATCTATGATGTTGAAAAACCAATCAACATCGGGTTTTTACATAACCTACGCCTCTCGTCACGTGATTGGCTGCGAAATACCGTGCCACAGGGAAACCAAATTACATTTTTGACTCTTTTCTCTCGGGTTTACTGAAAGAAAGARCCTTAGCCTTGTTTACAGTAAACCTTTGTATTGGGCTTCCTTTATTTGGATTGAAAGACTGGGGCGAGMTCACTCCATTCGATCCCAATCTTCTGATTCCAGCTTGCCACAGGAAACCCGATAAGAAGTAGGTAGTGAAAGAGTTACTGAGACCCTAAGCTATGGTGGACAGTAAGGAATATATCTTACATTTCGGAACCTTTCATGGTCCATAAGTTGATACGTAAAGTTTACACGTGTTCTGTCACCGTCCATTCTACTCAATAATTCACATCTTCTTTTCTTTGGCTTTTCTGTCTTAGTTTCGTAATTAAAAGCAGAGCAAAAGCTATTTCTTGCACAAAAGTCCAGACATTGTAATARTGATATCACGCGGTATGTCCGCAGCACATGGCCATATGCTGCTCKGTCGTTTGGCGGCATGGGCATTATTGAATTTAGGCGGCTTTTATGTAAACAAGGGTCGTCATCTGAAAGAAAAATATTGATTTTCTCATGGTGTTTCTAGGTAAAGTTTATCAGGAAAGCATGCGCATGCGCGTTGTATAGAGCATGCGCAGTATTAGTATTTAAAATAATATTATAGAATTATGATATAAGACCTCTCCAAAAATCATGATTCTTAATCGGGTGCTATTTCATCAGTGAAGCATCTTTGTTTTTGTGATTTGTGTTTTTTCGGTTGATATCGTACCTTCTAAGCTATTTTTTCGCCGTAAAGAAAGTCCAATTTCTAATGGATCAATAAGAAAGCGCTAAAGAAGAAATCCAAAAAATGAAAGAGTGAAAACATAAATGAAAAATGAGAATAAAAGGGAAGCTGACCTGTGTTTCCATTATGGTTTTTATTTATAAAACAATGTATATGACCAACAGAGAACGAACAGCATGCTGGGGCAAAGGAGGAACACTCCTCCTTACTGACTAATTCACCGTCTCTTGTGCATGGAATACCGTTATAAACTGTACTTCGGTGACAATCTGTATYAAATTATGAAACCCCCGTTAATACGGCCACTAAATGGGATATGTAAGTCGATTCGACGCCTCAGCTTTACATAATGTCGCGAGGGAATCGTTTCAATCTTTTTTGAATGTTGTTTTCATGGGTTCGAGTCCCAGTACYGTCGGGCTCTTCTATTTCCCTATAATTCTTCATTTTGTGAGCAGATTTTCTTCTGTTTTTACAATCAATTTTAAATTTTATATAACGTGAGTTTTCCTACAAATGGGCCTGAAAGGAGCTCACATATTAACCTGATTTACTATGAAAAAATGCTATAATTTAGAGCTCAAATATGTTCAATTTAGATTTTATTATAATTCAATGTCTAATGATTTCTAGTAAGTGTATTTTTATAGCTTTAATGTCTACTAGTATCACAGTGACTATATCGCGCACTTATCTGATATTTCAAATTGTCCGACGTAGTTTACTTACGGAGTGATACGGCCTCCATTACCAATGAAATCACCACAAAGACGCTGTATAGCATCTTGAGAAGAGACTGAAAAATCACATGGAGAAAATCACTCACTTCGCCTATTATGTGTAAGCAAAAGTGATTTCACCACTGGTTTTAAAAGTGCACCAAGGATTTGGTAATTATTACGGGATTTAAGCACGTACAAGTGTCCGGGTTAAGTATTCTTTCAAATTTCAAGCATCGTTGTACAATAAAGTTAGGGTTAAGGACATAACAAAACAATAGAGAAAAAATGTTTTTTTTTTGCGTAATATATAACCTCGACTGTTTAATCATACCTTTTATGATCTTTAGAATTATTAATTTGAAGCAATTCCCTTCTAATGAGTTGGAAAAAGAGATACATTCACATTCTCTGATACCTTTCTTTTTCCACGTCCTTCTGTACTTAGGTCAATAGGTAATGCACACAGGAAAGAAGGTTTTACTTGATCTTACTTTATATAAACATGAAAACCTAAAATGAATGTCATGATTCAAGATTAAATATAACTWATGAAACGCCTGTCTATCACGTGCCAAATTCCAGCAATCTAATTGGCTAATATATGACACCTGGTTTGTATTCTGGAAGTTTGTCTGTCAAGTTGTGTACAGCTGATGAAATAACAAGATTCAAACAATACATTGTTTTTTTWAATAGCTTACTTTAAACAAATGGCTTAAAATGATTGTTTTAAAATATAAGTTTTTATTTTGTGTATTGTTCATATCTTAAAGTCATTTCACAGTTAGAMAACACACAAACAYTTAGCTTGGGATRCCTGTAGTCATTTATCAGCTAAGTTTSGCTAAAATATTGGACAGCGCACGCATTAAATAGAATTCATGAGCTCTTCATTGATTGGCTTAAGTATACACACTTTAAGATTATTATCTTTCATGCTCAGGTTTTTTTGGCATTAGCAATCACTACTCCTGAGTTCATTAGATGTAAAATGTAATCCGTGCAACGTGAAGAGAAGCAAGAAAGTTGATTTGATAGTCGGAACAGCCATTGCAGTCGGTATGTGTTTTTCAAAATGTAGCCAATTAAAATACAGTAATTCTGACAACAACCTCAAGTGCAGCCAGAAGCCCTTTATGAACTGAATGTTTGTACACGTAATTTAACAATTGCGCATGCTTGATTATGTTTTCCGCTTACTGTCCCACATGGTTTAGTGGCTCATTGTAATCTTGTTATGTCCTGATGATTTAGCCTGATAGCGGCTCTTTCTCTTACTGCATGTTTGGTACTCTTGTCTGATTGGCACCGAATTCAGCATTTTTGACATTAGAATGACATCTCTTGTTGCTCAGTTCAGAATGTTTTTGATCAATCTCTGGACCGACTCAAGAGTAAATCATACACCTTGTTAACACAGTTTGTCAGGTTTGCCACGAAACATCTTCATCCATATATTTGAGATGTTAGTCAGTAAACGCTTTGAATGAAATTTGCTAGTTGAACATTGATCAATACCATCTACCATGATTAGAATATCACGATAGTGACGGATGATAACGTTGATCTGATGGACACAGTTTGAGTAGATCCTGAAATAATAGATATTGGCATCGTTATCTACAGAAGCACAATCGTATCGCCATTAACATACATCGTCATTATCGTGTTCACTAAAAGAGAAATGTAGCCAAATGAAAAATATTCGTCGGGATCGAAAAGGTGACATCATSKAAGCTAAGACCGAAAGGGATTTTGGGTACTGGSAAATTGATAGACCAGGTAGAGCTCTTTTCTTTGGGCGTTTGACAATAATGATATATGTTCATCGTGTAAAGTTTCAAATTCAACTACATGGTACTTACATTTCGGACCTGCTCGTAGTCAAACTTTTTAAACGCCACACACTCATTCTCTTGCTGTTCTCCTAAACTACTTAATATTTCACAGTTTTTATCGATCACTCCATCGTCGCAAAAATGATAATTGAAGCCAACACAAAGTCTATCCCGTAAGCACACGTCTTGACATTGAAGAATRCTGATCACGTTAACCCTGTCTATCACGTGACCAAGATTCTGTTCATAATGAATTTCACTATCGTCGATTCTTAGCATCTTTCTTTTACATTGTTCTGTRGAGACAAATTATATAATTATAAATCCCCCACCTTTGTTTGTCTTAATTAGCATTTAAAAAATTGTAAATCTATACCGTGATATTTGCTAGAGTTCAAGGAACATTGGAAAAGCAAATATTCTTGATTTWGAATGACAAATAAGTCATTCAACATGGCGGCGATAGGGTTGTTCTCTATTTCAAGAGATCTTGTTCACGGCTTACCAAGTATAAGTGTTAGTTGCAGCCGTAAATATCTTCACTGGCGTACGATTTTATTAATATGATTGACGTCCCATAATTCCAAACGCTCTCAACTAATTCATCACGATCAACGTTTATCAAAATTATTGTAAAGGTTGCAAATTGACACCGCTTTTTTGTTTGTCAGTTTTGATGCCATTAGTATATAATTACAAGTAAGAAACATTTCTAAGTGAAAGACGTGAAAATCCTCTAACCAATGATAAATCATTTACTAATTACAWTCAAACGCCTTGTTATCCTCCCCGATTAAAGTGATCTATCTGTTTCCGACGCTGAAAGTACACTGATCCGGTATCACTTCTCGAAGAGATCAAGCTCCCATCAATTTCTCGATTAAAAAGAAACTTRCACTTCTTGTACCAATTTTAAGCAATACAGACCCAAAGATTTGTCACGAAAATGTTTGATATTTTCACTGGACTATAATTTCTAACACGCAATTCAATTACTAAAGGGAGTTTCCTTACCGTTCGACCCATTGAGCGTTTCTCCTTTTACTTGGATATTTACCACTATCATCATTGCACAGAAAATCATTGTTTCTGTCATTTCCAAGAAAGTGTTGAGTCCACTCTAAAAGACAAAGCAATATCCATAAACGTKAATTCACTTCGTTTTGCTTTTAAAAAAGAACATCAAATTTATACTTTTATCAACGCCGATTTTTATCGCTTTTAAGAACTTRAATCATTTACTACGCTGCAAAATTATAAAAGGTGTGAGTTTTTTTGTCTGTGACTCCTTTTTTCATCATTTGTTAGAATCTTCGATTAGTTATATGACGTCAAAAATTACACCATTATGATTGGTTAGCAGGAATTTCAATCGCGCTGATTGGTCCATATTTTCAGCAGAAGTGCAGTTGCGACATTTGTCTTTATTTGTAGCATAAAATCCATTTGATTCTTGTTCAAATGTAAACGAGTTTCAAACGTTATTGACAGAATGTACAGCTGAGAGTAAGAAAAGTAATTTAAAGCTTTTAAAAAAAAGTTTGCTTCAGCTTCATTTTGGAAGCTAGAGAACTTGGTAACTGAAACGACGTTTCTTTTGTTTTGAAGTCATCGCCATATCCACCACGCATCTTATTGTATAAATTAATAGCGGTGCTTTGTCATTTGGCATAAGGATTCCTCTCAACTCAAACAACTAAGATGCTAGAATTCGGCATTACATTAATTATTTTCACTCACCATCTTGTCTGTAACAAGAAGAAAACAGAGTGTCCAAACTTMCTTTATAAAGCCACTCTTTCTAAGACTTCTTTTTCAGAAATCTTAACAACTCAGTGCACTTATTATGAAAGAACTCCASGAAGAGTGCTATTCTATTGCTTTATGGCGTACGAATGTCTAAACACAAGATAAATGAACACTGTTCTCTTGTACGCTGTCAGRAGACTTGTGAGTATGCTGTCAAAACTGAGTGTTGCCGGAATAGAGGACATCATACTCTTCAATCTCGAGTCTTTCTTGAGTAAACAAGCAATGACATGTTAGTTGTGCTTTAATTTCCCCGTTACAACGAGTTTTACACATTAAATTCGCTCTTTTACGATGATGTCGGTTTGGTACTTTGTCAATTCTTTTTCATTTCCTAAAGCATGCAATGTCATCTTGTCCAATTAGTCGGCTAACGAGGTAACACTGAATTCAGTCGACACCTTTCGGTGTTTTTTATTGTCTTTTTTTTGTCTTGGCATCGTGTTAGTGGTCACTTTTCCCATTAAAAACATTATTAAACACTGTAATTTTGAACGATAAGAAAGCAATGAAGAAAGCCCTTCGTGGTGAAAAGGAATCGATTACATTCAAATGAACAAATTGGCATATAAAGCGCAAATGAATCCATACTTTTTGGACTTATTGTTGTATAGTAGTTGATGATCACAAATCATTACAGGTTTGACAATGCGCAAATTGCTTTTTTAGTATAAATATAGCTCTGTGACCTAAACTAAATATTAAAAATGCCACTTTTCCATATGCTTTTTACACAAATAAGTTGACTATTTATCTTTTTCGTTGCGTGCTCACTTCATTCAGAAGATGCATTTATTGCTTGATGAAAACAATAAGCAGCTTGACGGATTAATCTTTACTTCAAAAGATTCCTTTTCGTTACAAATTGAATATTTACAATAAAGTATATTAAGTGAAAAATATTAAATTCCGTACAAATGTTTCAGTAACTTTGACACACTCGTTGAAGCGTCGTTTGCGCGAAGATGATCAAATGTGTCGGCCAGGCAATTTAATCAGCCGCCATCATATAGTTTGCCGGTGCGGCTGGTTTGAAACTAGGGGCAAAACAAATAATCTAGGTTTAGATATTAAGCCGTCAAAGCGAAATTACACTTAATCTATTAACACACGTCTCGCCGCAAGTCCAGGGTGGGGTAGGTTGTCATAACTAGTATTTATCATGAAAGGGGGGAGCTAATTCAGGAGGGGGCTGACTGTTTGAACTTAAGACTTTATATAACAATCAGATTATAATATATTAAAACTTTTCATTGAAATGTTGCTGATTTGTGCATAGGAAAATGACGAAAACTGACTTAATGTTAACAATAATTTATTTGGTATTTTGAGTAAAGTATCTTATAATGATATTTTGTGGTTGTCTTGTCATGAATGTTTAGCTTAAAATTCATACATGGCTCTGAACAAAAAGCCTATTTAACACTGTGGCACTCTGGAAAATGACAATAATTATCATCAACCAGGATCAGCCAGATCWGTCTGCCCAAAATACCTGGAAAATCAATAGAAATAATAATTGATTTAGTGGGAATTCATCAAAGGGTTTAATGAATGTATCCAATGCACCAGTGGCATCACATAATATTGGAACGAATTATTGGGCTCCCTGTGTTTTGCTTACCTTGTAACAAGGGTGATGATCAGGTTAAGTGAAACTACTAGTTCATCATCATCAGAATTTTTCTCTACCTTCAAGAAAATTGTGACAAAGAAATGAAGAAATTCAAGTTCAAAATGGGGGTATAGGACCATCCTCGGGGCAAGGGATAATTTTCTTTGTTTTTGGGTTCCCGAGGATGGCATAGGACATTCCATCCCTGTCTTCCAAGACTTCACCCACTAACATGCACTGAAGAAAAAGGAAACCCTTTCTATGACCACTTTCAGTGGCAAATGAAGGGTAAATGTTTCCCAAATTCCCTTTCATTTTCCTATTTGCCAGCAGTACTGTCTGTCTGTCTAACTTGTTTAAATTCCATTTATACCTCCTTCATTCGATGCTGTGCGCAGTGTCTHGCTAAAGTCCGTAGAAGGGATACAGTCTCAGGCAACAAAGGTTTCTCCAGGCAAGCCAGTAGTGAATACAGCCAGCGTCCCTATGTATAAAAACAGTTCATTAACAATACTATTGGTGTTTATGGCAAGATGATTTCACTTATATTTCTCATGCGATACATTACCTGGACGTGTGAATATGTTTCCTGTTCCAGCCAGTTTACATGGTACTCMAGAACTTGTTGGACTGTCACCTGCACAATATAATATATTAAATCATACTAAATAATACTAAGCTATCCTTAGTTTTATTACTGGCCTGAATGGTGGCAAGAGAGGGGAATGAAAGGGATGAGGGGGGGAGGGGGGGGATGTGGAGTTCAAGGAGGGATTACCTGATTCATTCTAAATAATATGCTTGACAGTGGCAAAGCTCCATCCTGTGAAGAGTAAGTCTTAAATTAAAGTCAGAACACCACAACAATCTCAATTATAATCAAGTAATACAGTAGATCCAAAATACCTGTGAATCCATTATTGTAGAGTTAGATTCTGAAGAATCAATTTCTGTTGAATTCCTGTCATGAAAAACAAGAAGAACACATCCTTATCTTGCCTGGTGAGCTGGTTTATTTGCCTCAATCACTACTCCATATTTAAATATATCCTGTGCTTGACTCATAACATACCTTTCGCATCCATAAGATCTACCAAGGCAAAACAAACGCCACTGCTGTTCATCATTTTTATTGGGCTATTTAACAATAAAATAAATGTCATCAGTTATATACAACCAGGTTGATTTTTAGTTTTGTAGTTTTTTTAAATTCTAGGACTCACCAGAGTAACATCACATTGGTTTGACGTCTTTTTATTTTTTGCTTGAAAACGAGCAATTTTCTGTGGTTGAAAACACAATATTTAATTAGGTATTATTAATTTAATACATTTTAATCTCTAGGAAGTCCTTGCTTGTTGACTTCAATATTTCTAGTGGTTGGTTAAATATCATCATCATCATCATATTCAATATTTTAATATTATAATCTATCATTATCGTCTTCACCTGTCTAATGTCGGCAAAATCAGCTGTTTGTTGCATCTGCCATTTATATGATGGTGTGGCACCAGGAGGAACTGGAAGATTGTTGGTCTTTATCTAACARAAATATAAYATATTGATTGATGGKTTGATTGAAYGATTGTTTGATTTAGATTATCGATTGACTGATTGATTGCATGCTTGATTGTTTCATCGATTGGTTAGTTGAAATATTGACATAGTTTACTAGTTTAAATCTTACATCAACTGTTTGTTTTGAATGCTTTTTATTCCTTATATCAGCAACCACGACATCAGGACATTCYGTTGCTTCTTGTCTGAGAAATGAAAGAGGAGAATTGTTCATCATTTTTCATGATTTAAGCTAATATACTTTCAAACCGTGTTATTTTCTTACTGAACTCTTCTCAAGTATTCCAATCCAGAGCACGGCAGCTTAGACTCATCATAATCATCTGTATACTCTTCATTCTCTAAAAATCCAATCACTGGTTCCATCGAAACAGAGATAGACTAAAATCTRCATAGAACAAAACGTTTTACAAAAGCAAATTGGGATTCCTGTGTCTGTTAAGCAATGAATCATGTCCAGCGGTTTTATTTTGAAACATGGCGCCTGGTCTTTCTGGACGCTTTCCTGGTTTGTCRCTAGTTGCCTTCTCWGCATTGGGYTTTATAGGGTTTTTTACATTCGTAGGATTTATTTATGAGAGATATAAGAAAATTGAATACAAAGATGGTCAAAAGTCGAAGAAATCTGCGTCACAAGCTAAGCAAAAAGACCCCAAACAGATGCATCTMSAAGCKGACGCGAGTGTTGTCCAGGTCAACTCCCAAGGGGAGCTAACAGCGTCACAAATTAAACACTTGATCAATGTTATTGGAACGGTAGATGAAGCTACATTGGAAAAGCTTCTTATTAGTTTAGCAAATTGCTGTGCATTCACGAAAAATCAGGTAAAACACACTGAATGGAAAGTTGATATAAGCTTACGCTTTCAAAACAATGTGCGCTTAGAAAGAACAATAATTGCTTTATGTGGTAAATATGCGCACTATGTTTACCCTTTAATCTTTTCCTAAGCCTTTTTTTATCTTGATTTTTGATATGTTGTTTTTTTGGMAGAATATCATTAGAGAAAATGGTGGACTTTCAAGACTGATGGAACTTCTTCAACATAACAATGAACAAATTCGCTCTAGGGCAATTCAAACACTTTCTAATCTTGCTATGAATTTAGAGAATCAGAAACAAATATCAGTAAGTATGACTTACATGTATGACTTAAGCATATAATGCATGAGATGAAAATTCATTGGATAGGCATCCAAGGTTTCCATAGTAACAAGACTTTTTTTTCTTCTCAAGCCAATAAACAAAATGTTTGGTTTTATTAGCTAATTAGTTGGTGATACATTATATATTAAATAAAGTGTAATACTTCATTCACTACATTAATTTAGAGTACTGATAAAGCGTTCGACTCTACTAGGTCTACTAGTGTTGCGCTTTAAGAGTTAACGCTGCAATCCTTGTCTTTCAGGTTTGTCTGCCAACCTTGCAAGACATTATTAATCCAGCAGGATTGTCAAATAAAACTGAAGATGAAGTTGTTTCTGTGTTRCAACTTTTAGTGAACCTGTCTGTTGTAGACACATGGCATGTYGATATGAAACAATGTATTTACTACTGCTTTGATATATTGCACCAGGAGTCCTTGTCAGATAAACTGAAGGTAAATGAATCACAGTTAACTATAGTTCCCTTAAAGGGACATGGTCCACTAGCATGCAATGCAGTCTTCTTTTAGATTTTTCTTATATGGAAAATGAGGTGACTTCAAATATCCATTTGCAATCCGTTTCCATCCATCGGTTTAACGGTCGAATCTTAAAGCATCTCCATTCATATAGGATAAAGGAATAATAAAGAGTAAGTTTTTGCTTATATTAGTATGTATTTCTATTTTCAAACATAGACAAAAGCTCGAAAGGGATGCTAGTGGACCATGTCCCTTTAAACTGTTTTGAATGCTTAATGCTCTTGGGCTTCCTGTCTTGCTCATGTGACCAAGCAACCTCAAAACCCACCTGTTTAATAAAAGAGGAGGCTGACATTTATTTCTTTGCTAGGCCTTTAGTCTCCTGTATGGCCAACAGGATAACGTAGGGATCCCAAAAGGGCGCAATGAAATCATACTCTTGTACAAAACTATTATTTTTGACTAAAGATCAATTAAGGTAKATTTTTTTATCTACAGGTGAATACGCTAAGACTTCTTGTGAATCTTTCATGCACCAAAGACAATGTGCAACACTTTCTCATTGAAAAGATTATGGTCCTTGCAAGGTTCATGGATCCTACAATGGATGAAGGCATTGTCCTAAGAACAGTTGTTATACAACTGAATGTTCTTCAAAACATCACTAATGATCCTGTTTTGAAGGTATAAGTTAATGTACATTAAGGTGAAACTAGAGAGGATTATGCATGTCAAGGACTACAATGTGCAGGAAAAATTGGTGTATTTGTCTGTTACTGCCTACCACCATTGTACAATTTGGATAGAAATGATGAAATTTGCACAATACTTTCTGGAGTTTGGAGAGATTAATAGATCAAAAAGAATAAATTGAGAAGAATTATGAAAAATAGCACAAATTAGTACAATATTGCATTACAATGATCATTTGTGTGCACACAAAAAACCTGAATTTCACAAGTTACATAACACTTTTTCAGGAAAAAGCCAAGGGTTTAGCAGAAGGAGTAGAAGACAAGCTGGATGTACTGGAGACATGCAGAAATGAAGAAATAGCTACCAAAGCAACAAAGATTAAAAAGCTTTTGAATAATTTATAACTTAATAATATATTTTCATATAATTGCCAATGTGTATCGTAATATAATATAAACAAATAAATTAAGTCATTTGTGCAATGCTATTTAATACATAACTTTTTTTGCTAATTATTTCCGTTGAAATTGAAACTCCAATAGCCTGCGTAAGTAGGGTATTAGGGAGGGCCAAGTGTAGAATGGGGAGGAGTTGAAACAGATCAATTCATCAGATTGAAATGTAAAAACCAAAGAAGTAATTTATTTCCATAAAGTCACCTTTTGTGGTTCAGCCAAAGTGAGTAGAGAGATCAACTCCCTCTACTCCTCTACTTAGAGCCAGGCTAAATTAGGCTATATACAACAATAAATGCTATATTTATCCCAGTTTTACCTGGCCATACCTACAGTACAGCATATAATTATATACATATGAAACAAGAATTTAGTTTTCCTGTTTTTCTTGTAAATTTTCAGTATCTTCACTTGATATAGGATTAATTGTATTAATAAGTTCATTCATGATTTCAGATGGTGTTTTCTCCAATGTTGGAATCTTTTCTTCTCTCCCATCAGCTGCAATACAAATAAAACAAACATACTTCAAACCCAGATTGTCAAAAATATTCAAATAATTAATGCTTTATAAACCAAGCACCCTTCTATGTTCCATAACTCAAAATCAAATGTCAAACTCGAAGTAAGCTTAAACTTACCAAATTTTATAACCACTTCAGACTCTTTTGAGTCGGTTTTATTTCTTGCTATAGGAACATGGGGGTTCTTGAATTTTAATCTGGGTACTTCCTCATATAGAAATTTCCTGAAATATCATTTGTGCTAATAAGTTAGCGATTCATCAAGTTACGTAAACACGTACTGCACATGAAGCTTACTTCAGTCCATAATTGTGTTTTGCACTAACAGAACTTGCCAAATTCACATCTATCGACTGAACATCATCCCCTAAGCTGACTTCACATCTTTTTAGATTGAGTAACGTTCGGTTTACAGCAAATCGACCTTGTTTTCCGCCTAAAGATTGCTTTTTTAACGCTCTCTGTATCGCTACAAAACTTCGACTTCTGGCCGCCATCTTGGATTAAAGTSAGACTGCAAATCTTTTGCACAGCGGTCAATCATTCTAGTACTTCTTTCTTGTAAATTTGAATTTTTCCCGCCATTCACTGGAGTCTCACAGCTGTTTTGGTGTATTTTACAGCTGTTATATGTCGCCAACATGAGGAAGACAAAGTTATGCTGCAAGATAGTTCTATGGATAGGCCAGAAATTCATGGTATGTAGTGTTGATAGCAGGGAACTCCAGTTATATTCAGCAAAAGCTTGAAACATAATTTGTTTAACTATTTTTATACTAAATCTTTAGTTCAGGTAGCACTATTCTGGAAAATTAAGTTCACTGATGTTTCACACTTGTCCTCAATTCACATTGCTATGTGCCAGGACATATTTTACTCAGTCAACTTTAGATTCAATTTCTGGTAGACTATCTCTTCAATAAGTGTGTATTTTTGATGAGAAAATATGGGAATTGCAGGGAGCTAAAGACCAGTTCATGAGTTCAGATTTCATACTATTATTAACAAAATTTTTAACTTTTTCCCTTTGCTACCTGAAACATCCTCAGGAGTGCAGGATTAATTTTCTATTGGTTCTTCATTGCTCCCAGAAAAACATGCTATTTTTATGGACATGAGGACCAAGTGAGTTAAATGACTACACCTTGTGTTCAGAAGGATTTCATGTTGATATTCAAGGTCTATATTCATTCTTTGCACCTCTTTTATTTTCTTCTTTTTACTTTTTTCATCAAGTCAGTTTTATTCCCAATACAAATGACACTGATGAAAAACGCACTGCGCATGTCCACAGCTTTCCAGCCAGTGAGCGCTCGCGTCTTAAAATCTGCCTAATTTATTTGTAAACAGAGCACCTGGCGATTTTTTTTTTACATTTTATAAGCTCGTTAACCGATATTTAAAATTCATATTTCCATCAATCTTTGTTCATGATAGGTTCTTTTAGTATGTAGTTTCTATTTTTATCTTGTCATTTCTATTTTGAGAAAATGAGGTTTTTCATAGTGTTTTCTGTGTTAAATTAGGCAGATTTCAAGACGCGAGCGCTGACTTTAGGGAAAACTGTGGACGTGCACAGTGCATTTTTCACCAGTGTCAATACAAATAATATTTCAAGAATGTGTTTTGTACAAAATTATGTAGGATTTAAGTCAACTTTCTTTCTCTTGCCATGGTTTAGTTTTACGTGCTTCTGGTCTTGGTACTCTAGAGGGACATGGTACTTGACCTGGTTTCTCACAGATGCAGTAGCAATGGCCGTATTTGCCAAAGTTGGCAGGGTTGATTCTACCAGGATACTTGGGCTGCCGTCTTATCTGCAACTCACTGTAAGTAAGAAAATACTCAATAATTTTATCTAATAATAATCAATTTTCTTCCGTTATGTTTTTTCCTTAGTTTAGCCATAAAATTTGTGTAGGGTATTCTTTTATTTGAGATTAAAACAAAAATTACATTGCT